GGGCATTGTAGTATTCCTCTCACAGCCTTGCTATGAGAATGAAAAGAAATAAAATATGCAACACAGGTACTTAACAAGAGAGAACTCTCTTTTCTTTTATGTCCTTAGTGTTTCTTTCAGGAACTAACACATGATAACTGGCTGAACCATACTGAGGCCAAACAACAGCCTAAGGGATCATGCAAGAGAAGTGAGCCAATGGGAACAGGGTGCAGGGAGATTAGACAGAACCAGGAGCTGAGGCCAGAGGAGGACCCAGTAGGTCTCCAACTATAGGTACCTCAGAAGAAAGGTCTGGAAATCTACTTCCAAAAAGTCAGCCATTGAAAAGGGTATGGAGTACAGTTCTGCACTGACACATATAGGGTTGCTATGATGTGGAATCAACTCAAAGGCAATTTTGTTTGTTTGTTTTGGCAGAAGTTACAAGTCTAGAGTTGAAGTGGGACATAAGTGAGGTTAAAATGATGGGGAAATGCAATTGTATTGCACTGCCCTAGCAAATATTATAGACCTAGGCGTAGGATCCAATAGAGATAGAAAATACAACAAATATTCTCCCTTTCCCCAAAGCCTTATGCAGTCTTGGCACAAAAAAAGTACTCACTGCATATTTGTTGTAGTGATTTAGGGACTTTGGGTATGTGCACACTGGCCAGACCTCCCACATGATAGGCTGCAGAATGTCTGGCATGTTCCTGACTTGCTTGCTGACAATTCAATTACCCTGAAGGTCAAGAGAGTGACTAGGGCTTTGTTATTCTGCACCTAATTTGAACCAACAAAGATAAATTGGTCAGGGAATTAAAGTTGTCAGGAATTTAGGAGAAAGCGAACATGTCAGCGTTGTGTTTGTGAGAGCCAGAAAGAGTTAAGCATAATCAGACATGTATTCTAGATACAGAAAAAGTACAGGTGGAGGGAGTGGTGCTAGGAAATGGCTTGTTTTCAAGCATGAAACTGTGGAAGGGATGATGAGTCTAAGGAGGATGAGGAAGTTCTTACAAATTACCCAGTGACCCAGAGAAGGCAGTGGGATAAAGCATTGCAGCTACCTAGGATCCCTTTCAACGTGACCACATTTTAAGGAGAACATCCCTATAGAAGGCCCAAAGGAACCATGCAGGAGGCTTCTGGGGTGCTGGTAATGCCCCTTTTTTGTCTGGATGCTGGTCATAGGAGTATGTTCACTTTGAGAAAAATTTGTCAAACTGTATTTAAGATTATTATACTTGTCTGCATATATGTTACACTTCAAACCAACCACACAACAATTATTAAGATTTAGTATATTTCCCTCAGGACTTATATTTTAAATGCTTAGCTTTGCATGTGCCTAGCTTTGCATGCTAGCTTACATACCTGAGACTGTAATTTTTAAAAATTTACCTTGCTTTATTCATTTAATGTGATTTTATAAGTGCTACTCCATGTTAAAATGTAGCCCTCACAGCCGTTTTTGTTAACAGCTACATAATATTCCACTGTGAAGTTAGACCACAACTTATTTTATCATTCCTGAGTGGTTGAACAGATATGGTGCTCCTAATTTTTACTTTTATAAACAACACTGGAATCTATATCTTTGAGTATAAAGCTCCCTCTAACATTTAAGGTTATTCCATGAGATTAGATATTTTGATATTAAGAGAATAGAATCGACTCTCTTTATAGTGTAGAAACATATTGACAAATTACCACTAGCAATGTTGGCCTCATCAAACCCTTGCCACTGCTATATCAAGAACCAGGTACGGAGTCAGCCTGTTTTCTGTTATATCATTTGCAAATCTTTTGTCTAAAATTAGAGTTCCTTCTGACTATCTCTCGTCTGTTATACCTCTCTCCTCCTATACAATCTCTGTATTACAATCACTGTGGTACTGCATGGTCATTTAAGGTCTGCTTCAGTTCTCTAGAAGTTGTACTTGAACTATCTCAGCTTTCAGTTCATTGGGCCTTTAAACTGAAGCACAGAAATAGAAGCCAGGAGTGAAAGAGCCTTGTCCTTTCTCCAAATGTGTGTGGGGGGGAAGGGGGAAGCCAATTAACTCATGATAAGGTTTAACTCTTTGTGACTTCAGCTTTCGTGGCATCACAGTTACAGAGTCCTGCTTTATCTTTATATTTGTTCTCAGTCATTTTTCCTTATTTCCATCTTTTGGGTGCGTTCTTTTGAAAAAAAAGGACAACTTGCCTTGAAATTATACATACTTCAAATTCCATATAAGCACCTCATACAAATATTTTGTATATTTGATCCATTATTTGTCATATACTTTTAATGTTTCTACATTTTATAACAAAACCAAACAATTGTTTATTTGAAAAGGAACACTTTCCAGCATAAGAAAGAAAAAGAAGGAAACACTTGTTCCAAGGAACAAACAATGTCAATGTCAGCCCAACCCTCTTTCTTTGAGAGTGCTACAGTATGTGAAATAAATTTAACCCTACTCTAAAGCTATTTTTTGTGGAAAAATACAGCAGTGGGATGTGAGTGCATAAGTCCTGAGGGAGATTAGTAACTAGTTAGATAACCAAATGAAAAGTTTTGATGAACAATGAATGCCAACAGGAAGGGATCTCCCTTGGGGGCAGTTTCTGGCTCCCAATTTGTAGTAATGTCGCCATGACTTTTAAAATAATTAAGGTCCAGCAATTTTCAGCTGGTAAAGAATGTGATGACAAGCTATAGCAGTTGAACCACTCAAAGAAGATGGAAATCAGTAGCAGTAAATATAGGACTCTGTATTTGGACTCCAGAAACATAACCACATTTATATATGTAGAATCAAGCCTATGGCAAAGATGTTTTTTTGGAGAAGGGAGTTTGATGCTATATTCATTGCAATCACTGAGAAGCTAAGGTATTGGTTATATTAACAGAGATCCAGTATAAGAAAAGAATGATAATCTAACTAAGCAATATACTGGCAAGATTGCATGTAGATTGTCCCTTTCCACTCTGGTCACTGCACATAAAGAGGGATGGACATACAGGAGGATGTCCCAGGATGAGTGGCTAGGATGGCTTAAATGACTTGAACACTTATCATATGAGGAAATGTTGAAGGAGAACAATGTTAGCAGAACCTGACAACCATCTTTCAACATTCAGAAATCCATCCTACATAAGCAAAAGAGGGCTTTCTGTACACCCAAGGAATGAATCAAGGCCATTGGAGCTAATTACAGACTCAGATCTGCATTCAATGGAAGTGACAATATCTAACATTCAGAAATGTGCAGAAATAGAATACACCCTGTCATGGACATTACCATTTCTCCTCCTCTTCTGGATACATGAAAGATTCTCTTTCCCTACTTCATTGAAATTAGACTTGCCATGTACCTGGTTCTAGCCAATGAAATGTAAGTGGAAGTTATGCTTCAAATCTGAAGCATCTATATGCCAGTGTTTGACTCTTCAGACTTCTCTTCCCCTGCCTTCATGAAATCCAAAGCCTTGTGTTAAAATGGAATTATCAGCCTGGTTTGCTGAGTGAATACAGTGATTAGAGTATCCTCCACCCCATCCCTACCTTATACAACGTTGGACACGTAGTTTGAGTGGAAAAGTAAACCTTTGCTGTTTTTAGCCACTGAAGTCTGTGGGGTTTGTTATTCCAGTGTAACTTTTCCTATCCTGACTAACACATGTGACTTCAAGATGCAATGTTTCCTTGTGACTGAGCATCAACTAGACAATCATTAGATATTCAAGTTTTATGGTTTTGTGACTCACTCATTTGCATTATTCACCTTTCACTTCCATTGCTACACTGCATGCAGTCTGTTGCTGAGTGTACAGTTTTGTCAACTGGGATTTTTAGCTGGCTACAGCTCTGGTAGCATAGTGCCTAAGGCACTTGCCTGCTAACCAGAAGGCTGGTGGTTCAAACCCAGCAGCCGCTCCTTGGAAGGAAGGTTGGGCAATCTACTTCCATAGTGATACTACCTTGGAAACCCAAGGAGGGGTCGCTATGAGTCGGGTCTGACTCAACGGCAGATAACAACAACAACAACAGGTCCTCCTGGGAAATGGATCCAAATAAACTAGGCTATAAGGATTCCTCTTCCTAAGTACACTCTTCTGTAACTGTACTGTATGCCCAGTAAGATCACAAATGTATGGATCCTGTCCACTTGGGGAACAGCCAACAATAACTAGGTAGTTCACCCAGCAAAGACTCACTTGCCACACAGACAGTCACATATCATCCATGAAGACAGTGAGGTTCACCAGAGATCTCAGTGACATTCTGAACATGAACTTTGCAGTTTTATTCTTACACATTGATATAATCTGAGCTTTTGCCAAGTGTCCATTAATTTCAGCCTGCATGTAGATGCAA